TACCCCAGGTTATTGAGACAGGCAAGAGAGGAGATTGCTGGGGCCTTGATCAAGATCTTTGTATCCTTATTAGCCACTGGAGAGGTCCTGGAGGACTGGTGAGTAGTTCCTTTGTTCAAGAAAGGAAATAGGGATAATCTGGGAAACTATAGACCATTAAGTCTCACATCGGTGGTTGGGATGCTATTGGAGAGAATTCGTAGGGATAGCGTTTATACACATTTGGAAAAGTGTAGCCTAATTAGGGACAGTCAGTATGGCTTTGTGTAGGGCAGGTCATGTCTTTCCAACTTGATTGAATTTTTCAAAAAGGCAACAAAGGTGATTGATGAGGGTACAACAGTACATGCTATCTACATGGATTTTAGTAAGGCTTTTGACAAGGTCCCTCAAGGTAGGCTCATCCAGAAGATGAGACGGTGACTGATCATGTGGATCCAGAATTGGGGTTTCAGAAGGCAGAGGGTAGTGGTGGAAGAACGCTTTTCAGGCTGGAGGTCCGTGACTAGTGGTGTTCCGTACGGAACCATACTGGAACCTCTGTTGTTTGTGATATATATAAATGACTTGGATGAAAATGTAGATGGGTAGGTTAGTAAGTTTGCAGATGATTCAAAGATCAATGCAGTTGTGGATAGTGTAGAAGGTTGTCAAAGAATACAGTGGGATACAGATCAGTTGCAGATATGGGTGGACAAATGGCAGATGGAGTTTAATCCACACAAGTGTGATATGTGTTGCACTTTGGGAGGTCAAATGTTAAGGAAAGTATACAGGTAATGGCAGGACTCTGAACAGTTTTGATGTACAGAGGGATCTTGGGTTCAAGTCCATAGCTCCCTGGGAGTGGCCATACAAGTAGATGGGGTGGTAAAGAAGGTGTATGGCAAGCTTGACTTTATTGATCAGAGCATTGAGTACAAGAGTCAGGATGCCATGCTGTGGTTTTATAAGACTTTGGTTAGGCTGCACTTAGAGTATTGCATTCAGTTCTGGTCGCCGCATTACAGGAAGGAAATGGAGGCTTTGGAGAGGGTGGAGAAGAGGTTTACCAGGATGCTGCCTGGATAAGAGGGTATAAGCTGTAAGGAGAGGCTAGAAAAACTGGGGTTGTTTTCTTTGGAGCATCGGAGTCTAAGGGGAGACTTGAAAGAAGTTTGTAAAATTATGAGATGCATAGATAGAGTTGACGGTCAGAATCTTTTTCCCAGAGTTGAAATGTCTAATACTAGGGGGCATGCATTTAAGGTGAAAGGGGAAAGTTCAAAGGAGATGTGAGGGACAAGCTTTTTAGACAGAGAACGGTAGGTGTCTGAACATGCTGCCATGGGTGGTGCTGGAGGCAGATATGATAGGGGCATTTAAGGGACTTTTAGATATGCACACAAATATGCAAAGCATGGAGGGATATGGACCAAGGACAGGCAGAAGAGATTAGTTTAATTTAGCATCATGTTTGGCACAACATCGAGCTAAAGGGCTCATTCCTGTGCTGTACTGTTCTATGTTCTCTGTGTTCTAAAATCACCACTCCCCCTCCTCTCTTGCCACCCCTCCTTCCTATCCTTCCAATAGCATCTATGACCTGGAATATTAAGCTGCCAGTCCTACACTTCCCTGAGCAACATTTGCAAGATAGCTATGCTATCCCAGTCCCATGTTCCCAATCGTGCCCTGAGTTCATCTGCCTTACTTTTCAGGCATCTTACATTGAAATAAATGCAGTTTAATTTATGAGTCTTACCTCTTTCTCTGCCTTGCTTTTGCCTGTCTTGACAATTTGACTTACTGCTCTTCTCAACTGTACCAGCCTCTGACATTTCTCAATATCTCTTTGGGTCCAACCACCACCCATCTCCCGACTAGTTTAAAGCCTCCCAAGCAGCACTAGAAAATCTCCCCACCAGGATATTGGTCTCCTTCCAATTCAGCTGCAAACTGACTGTATATAGGTCACTTCTACCCCAGAAGAGATTCCAATGATACAAAAATGCAAATCCCTGCCCCCTGCACCAGCTCCTCAGCCATGCATTCATTTACTCTATCCTCCTATTCCTACTGTCACTAGCATGAGGCAGTGGGAGTAATCCAAACATTACCAGCTTCGAGGACCTACCTTTTAACCTTCTGCCTAATTTCCTATATCCTCTCCTCAGAACTTCACCTCTTTTTCTTCCTATGTCATTAGTACCAATGTGTACAATGACCTCCTGCTGGTCATTCCCACCTTTGAGAATATTCTGCACCCTCTCCTTGACCCTGGTACCAGGGAGGTAACACATCATTTTGACATCTCGCTGTCAGCCACAGATATGTCTGTTTGTGCCTCTGATTCGAGAGTCCCTATCATATTTGTCCGCTTGGAACTTAACACACCCTTCATTACAGCGGAACCAGTCTTGGTACCAGAAACCCTGCTGTCAGTGCTACATTCACCCGAGAATCCATCACCCCCTGATTTTCCAAAACAGCATAATTGTTTGAGATGGAGATAGTCACAGGAGACTTGTGCTACCTGCCTACCTATATTACCTTTCCTAGAGGTAACCCAGCTACCTGACTGTATCTGCAGTTTTTCTGCTTTCTTGAAAATGCCATCCATCACACCCCCTGGATCCTATGAATTCCTCATTGCCTCTAGCTGCCATGCAATCAGAACCAAATACACTTCCTGCAGACATAATCATCGGGAACATTGAAATTCTGCCTAATCTCCTACATCCAAAAGGAAGAGCACATCACTCTAATAAAGGCCATCTCTGCCCCTTAAACAATTTATAGACCCAGAAAATAGCACAGTCTTACTGCAGTAAAAACACTGCTCTAGTTTAACTTAATACCTATGTTTTATATTAAAAATAATTAATCAAGAGACAGAACTCAGTTAAACATTAAAAACCCCTCACCATACTCACTATAATAGTTTACAAGAAAAAACAGACTAAGATTTATCAGTTTTATAAGTCTTAAATCAAACACTTAGCTGATCAGGCTAAATAATCCTGACACTCCCAGCTATGACTAGTTTCCATAATGAACTTTTCGAAGGTCAGCTGTGAAATTTCACTGTTTATTTTTCTTGGACCCAACTCAGATTTCCACAGATGCTTGTAATTTCACAGTCAGTCAACTGTGAAGGTTCACTGCTTGGTTTTTTAAAAACTTTTTTGTGAACTCTAGAGCTGCTCCCTGACCTCCTATGTGGTTTCTCCCAAAACAGCAGAAGGGAGTTTTCATATTATTTATTGTTATGTTCAGCAAGACTGCAACAGGTTGGAAACCTGTGTCAAAAATAGTGTTTTGGTGTCAGATTAGTATTGCACATTAAATTGCATCATAATCTCTTTGTTCTGCATGCCACCTGTGGTTTTTAGATTCTCAAACCAAGATGCTGCACAGTGCACTTTCTGTTAGAACATGCATGCACACTTTGGAACCAATTTTCCACCAGACGAAAGGCAGGTAGCACATAAAAATAGGAGCCATGTGGCCCAATTTCTCCCCATACTGAGTTGGATCCTACTTCATGCATTTGTATGTCTCTCATTGAAATACTGTTGTTGTGAAGCTTGAGGAGCAACACAGTATTGAGCAGCAATAACACAATTTGCATATGTAACTGCACATGTGTGGATGCTGGAACCCACTGTGTAATTTTAATAACAGTTGGTGCTTGTAAGTTCTTCATTGTTCTTATCACAAGTTTCAAATCAAGGCCTCAGATAAGAAAAGAAAATGTGGTTATTTCATGAATCTGTTTCCTGGCAAGAAGCTTTTTATATCTTGGTCAGACATTGACTACGATCTTCTAAGTGGTCAGCATGTGATTAAGCTTTCAACAGTCACAAATCCCTCCTGAAAGCCTAGAACCTGAAATATCCTGAATAAAAAAAACCGTGGGAAATGAAAACAAACTGATTTTTCCTGCACGTAAGATAACGTGTCAACTGATGAAATTTCCTTTACCAGAGAGTATCTGTTGACCTGTTCATTGAATCTTTTCAGCGGACAATATGCATGACTATTTTCTGACTGGGAGGTAGGATTTGAATTTAATTCAATTACATTATTCTTGTATATTTGTTATGTTCTACACATCAAAACAGGGCTGCAGACCCTCAGGCACCACTGCTAGGTTTGCTTTCATTGTATTGATAAATAAAAACGTCAACAAATTGCATTTAAATAGCCCCTTCCCATTCCTTTCCAAATTCCTTCACAGGGGAATTGTCAAACAAGATTTGATATCAAGAGTCCAAAGAAGATATTAAGGTTCCAAAGGATATATCACGGGAATAGTTCCAGGGTTGAGGGACTTTGGTTATGTGGCTAGAATGGAGAACTAAGCTGCATTCCTTACAGAAGAGAAGCTTGGAAAAAGTTTTGACACAGGTGTCCAAATTCATGAGAAGTCCAAATAGACAGGGAGAAATATTTCCCATTGGTGCATGTGTGTGAATGCTGATTTAAGGAACTGACTAAAGAAGCGGTGGCAACATGTGGAAGACTATGAGTTGAAAGAAATTGAATAAACGCTGGAAGGGGAAACATTTTCAGGACTACAGGGAAAGGACTAGCAGATCTACTCTTGTTGAGAGATGGTATTAATGGAAGTCAAATACCGTTTTTCGGTGTATAACTATTTTATGAACCGATGATTCTGGTGATTTGGACAGATAAACAAAAACTTCACAAAGAGTTACGTTTTAAGGACATTCGTAAAGAAATGAATAGAGGGAAAATGAGTGGAAAGCTTAGGAAGGAAGTTCTGGAACTTAGTATTTTGGCAGGGGAAGGCACAACAGCTAATGGGCGAGTGATTGATATTTGAGATTTTCAACAGGCTAGAATTGGAGGAGCCCAGATAATGCGGAGAGTTGTAGGGCTAGATGAAATAGCAGAGACAGGCAGCTGATTATAGAGATAGAAATAATTTCAAGTTAGAAACACAATTTATTTGTTTCATTGACCACCAAAATATAACAATTGAATACACTCACTGCGCTGTCAAGTCCCAGTGTCAGAAGCATGATGAAAAAGATGACTGACCAAATTGATGAACCAGGAAGGGTGGCAATTGCTTCTGGGTAAATAATGAAGACCAATCCAGCTTCTGAAAATATAAATAGCTTTTCACTTATAAGAGCTTGTGATATATATATTTATATTTTTAAGTGTTAAAACTGTTGCATGGGTACTTGCTAATACATGAGATAGCATGCTAATCTTTAGTTTGAGGAACTTGACCCGGAATCCCGTAGAGGAAAATGGGATGAAATCGTTCTCTGACAGATGAACACAAACCAAAGTAAGATAACTTCCAGTAGTTAGAAGCAAATTCTGATTGAGTATGTACACAGTTACTTTTCCTATTGCATTAATTTACTGATCTCATAAGACCATCTTTGTCACCTCCCTGAGTGAGATGGTTCCTACAGGAAATTGGAAGTTGGTACAGTTGGGTTTGGCCTTCTGAAATTAGTATTAAATATATTTGGAAAGATGTCAGGAGAGATTAAACTTGCTCTATGATCTGGGATATTAGATTGTCTGGGAATACTGGAAAAGTCACACATTGCACTCCTGGAGAGGAACTACCTAATCTTTCTTTATCCATATAATGGAAAGAAAATTGAACAGGTTTCTTTACAAGTCTGATCTGAACAGCCTGGTTCTCCAGTGTTCACAGTGCCCAGGTTATTCAATACGGAATGTTGTCTGTGCTTAATGTAATATAGTAATGCTTTATGAATGGATTAATAATTTTGTTGTTTGCAAAGTAGATGGAATCTCTCTCTTTGTTCCATTGAGGTAAAAGAAGCTTCATTGTCTTTTTTCTGTCTGAGGAGTGTTTGATGCTGATTCTGAAGAAATCAGCACAAACAAATTAGGAAAAACATATTTTTATTGTCAACATTGAAGTTATTTAACACTCAACAAACTTCAGAATAGTCTTCCTCATGTTTTCAAATTATTTTCCATGTCTTTTCCCATCACACGGAATAGCACTGGCATTAGACTTCTCCTTGACTGTTTCCAGCGCTGCTTTGTGAAGGGATAAATTTCAAAATGAAAGAAGTGAGCATCAGGTTCAAGACTGAATTAGACTATAAACCTAATTTAGACTATAGACCCCAAAAACCAAAAAAAATGGGTGAGCATTTCCTAAAAGCTGCAAGTGGCACAAGCATTTTTAAAGTCTTTTTTTGGTCCCACATCATGTATGTAGTTATTCTGTACATAAGTTCTCAGTGTCATAGCCAGTGATTGGCAATTCATCACTGCCAGTACTGGAGCTTCAGCATCAAAATAATTTTTAAAAATATTAAGAACCTGGTTGAGGTAAATGGTTGATTGATGGGCTTATAATCATTTAACTTTGGCACTCTATTTATCTCAATGTTTAGTTTCAGATTCCACAGTGGAAGAGTACACTGGCTGTCACCATCTTGACTCACACCTGATGCTGCTGTAACCCAGTATAGGCCTGTACTTCATGATGGCATTTTTTAAAAAAAAACAAATGTATTAATATAAAACTAAGTAGGCAAATGGTGTATAATAATTCCAACGTTTCTGGATTAGAGTTCTTTAAAACAAACATTGGTGAATCTGATACAGTGTTTTAATCACCCATAAAATGTGACATTGTTCTAAGTAATTTCATTAACAGATTTTTGCAGATTAACATTATCGGATATTCACTGCAAAGGCAGGTGATGTTCTTGTCCACTGACCCATTTTTTTTTGCAACACAGCTATTTAGGGTACATTAAATGAAGGGCCAGAGATGGCAAAACCAGCTCCGTGGCCTCACCTCCAGTGGCTACATCCTCCAGAGCAACTCCATGGCGCTTTGAAATATAGCCCAAGAAAGAGAACACAACAAAACCTGAGAAGAAGCTTGTCACGGAGTTGACAGAACTGGCAACGATTGCATCCCTAAAAAGAAAGGAGAGTCAGGCACAATTTGAATCTTCGGAGGGATGGAAGAAATTCAAGGTCCTCTATGATGCGTAACACTTAATTTGCAGTGGTAATGGAAAGACACAGTCTCATGACATGTTTAAAAATTCACAGACAAAGGACGTACCTGTGTGGAACATGTCCATCAGTGCAGACAATACACAGCTTTGTCAGAAGGCCATTAAAAAACAAGCAACTTGGATCCCATTGAACCAAGCGTAGGTGCTCCACAAAGCCGCAAACCGAGCGTAGGTGCTCCACAAAGCACCTACACTCGGTTCGCGACAAACTACAACACCTCCCCAGTCGCGAACCACTTCAACACCCCCTCCCACTCCCTGGATGACATGTCCATCCTGGGCCTCCTCCAGTGTCACAACGATGCCACCCGAAAACTGGAGGAACAGCACTTCATATTCCGCCTTGGAAGCCTACAATCCAATGGTCTTAATGTGGAATTTACGAACTTCAAAATCTCCCCATCCCCGCCCTCATCCCAAGACCAGCCCCCTCTCGTCCCTGCCTCCTTGACCTGTCTGTCTTCCCTCCCATCTATCCGCTCCTCCCACCTCACTGACCAACCCCCACCCCCACTTCCTACCTACACTCACCTACTAGCTTCATCCCCGCCTCCTTGACCTTCCGTCTTCTCTCCCACCTATCTGCTCCACTATCCAGCTTCCATCACCGCGCCCCCCTCTCTCTATTTATTTCAGAGCCCCCTTCCCTGTCCCCATTTCTGAAGAAAGGTCCAGACCCAAAATGTTAGCTTTCCTGCTCCTCTGATGCTGCCTGACCTGCTGTGTTCATCCAGCTCAACACCTTGTTAACTTAAAAATAAAAGTATGCAAACTAGGTGGCCATCCCCTTCTTCTCCTTTCCAAGCCACTGCAAATGAAAACCTCTGATCCAGAATCAAATAACAGCACCATGGTAATGCCTGTGTTATTGATATATTTGAAACAGAAATAAAATGACCACAAATGTTATATTAATTCACATTGAGCATCACCTCCCTTTATAGGGCAAAATGGTCCAAGGTCTTGACTGCAGTGAAGGTAAATTCAGTTAGAGAGACCTGAAAGATGGCTGGCAAAGTTTGAAAAGTTGCTGTGGAGAAAAATAACACAACTTAGATTTGCCTAGCCCTTACATAGTCCCTGTGCAAGATGTTTCAAGTACTTTTGGAGTCAATATTTAATTTAACAATTTTGAACATAATAATCTCCAAGAAAATGAATGCACGGAGCCTCAAGTGAGACTGGATCGTATAAATGACAATGCAGATAGTACACCCAAGTTGCTAATTGTCATCATACTGCAGTTAACTTAGTAATGAAGAGGCTCCGTGCATTCATTTTCATAGAGATTATTATGTTCAATAGTTCTGATACTTCAGAAGTATCTTTATTATCTTACTACGGGATTCTGTTAACACATATATTTTAAAATGCCCAAAAATGATGTGTGCTTTCAATAAAGTTTCAGTGATGCCATTGTGGGTGGTGCAGAGGGTAACACAATGTGACTCTTTAATGTAAATGTGACTCTCCATGATGTTACATGACTTCTAAATCCATCTGTTTATGTTAACTTACTCAGCAATTCCAAATATTTGAGTGTATGACACCATGCAATGCAATTACTGGATTGCAGTGGATAACTGGCAAAGATAAATGAAATACTTATTAATTTGTCCATGGGGCCAGCCATGTCCAACCTTCCACTTAAAATACTTTCTGACCTCCACTCTCTTTTATGATCAAATGGTGCTCGAGCCCTAGCTATATTTTGGATGCATTCACCTGCTCTCACCCTGTTCTCCCACTCCCTCTAATCCTTCCCCTCCCTTCAACTTTTCCTGTTTTTCTCTTCGTCAATCTCCTTTTGGGCTAAGTGCTGTGTAAACACTTTCTCCTGATGACATAATTTGTTACACCAGCCAAATTTCACACTTCACTGTTGTCAGACATGCTGCCATGATTTCACGCCTCACTCATTGAATGCCCACCCATCTCCAGCCCAACCCATCCAAACCACACGAATAACAGCAACTGGCACTTTTCTCTTTAAAAGTGCTTATCCAATTGGATAAGTAGTTTAATTAAGTAGTTTAAACCAATAGCCTATTTTCCTAGGCTAAAATAGGAAAGAGGGTGTGTGACAAGCAAAGAGGGTGTTTGCTTGTCAAATTCTCAGGAACTGATAGGTGGATCAGCTGAAGAGGCAAGAAAAGGCCATTAAGCCATGTTATGTAAGCAGTGATGGGACTTAGACCAAACAGGAGGAGATAGCAGAGATATGAATGCAATAACATAAGAAGTATTTTCTGCGAAACAGGGAGAACGCACAGTGATAGTGCTTTAGGGTGGCAAACATACAGCAGTAGTCAGAAGGTGAAAGATAAATCGACCAAGACACAGAGGAGTACCTTCAAATTATAAATATTATTTTCAAAATAGTGAATTTCTCTAATTCACTATTAAAAACTACTAAAAGTTCTGTCATGTTATCCCATACCTTGAATATATGCTACATGGTACGTAACAGTAATGAAATAAAGTACACTGTTTTGAGCAGCAGTGACTGAACAGGGGGATTGCCAGCAACTCCTGATCTAGGGCAAAATCAACATGTAGAAGCAACCAAATAAATGTTCTCCTTCAATCTGGAGGTCCTTTTAGAACCTGTGGAGGTTAAACTGGGCCATGTAACATCGGTTTTACAAGTAACAAAAAGAGGCCAAATCAGCGCAGAATGATTCCATTCTGCATCCTGATAAGATCACCAGGGAGAATGACCCCAATGGTGTTAAGTAGTGGCTAGCAATCTATAGGCAAGCTCTTGGATACTCCAAAACATATTAGACGTATCACATAAAGAAACTAAAGCTAGCAACATAGCCTACCTGTAACAATTGTTATTAAATTTGTTGTAGCTTGCAAATGCTATTAGTACACCAAAACCCACTCCAAGTGAGAAACATATCTGTGTAGCTGCATCTATCCAAACCTATGAACAAAACAGATACACAAAGGAAAGAAAAAGAGCTGTTATTACAGATAATTGCAGGAATCTATTCAGCACAGAGATCAAAGACAATATTAAAATAAGGGCAATTTTGTAAATTGTTGCAGTGTGCATCTGTACAATTTGTTTGGTAGGTTGCCACTCCACGCTTAATTATTGGCATTCAGGGAAAGGACGCATAAATTGATACCTTTTGAATGCGTTCGCTTATACACGTTCAACAGATTAGTGTGAACAGCACTGCACAGTAAAACACTGCATGCAGGAGTCAATAAACAAACAAATGTTGCTACAAATAGATTGATTTATTTAATATTGATCAGCAAGTGACATTTAAAACAGAAAGTCAGTACAGGTGCTATTGAAGAGTCAGGATCTATTTCCATTGGAACTTTTCGAGGCAAACAAAGTCATCAAGCAAATGTCACCTTTCTAGGAACATCAGTTTAAGGTATCTGCAAAATGTCTCCTTAGCACAGCAATTAACATGGTGATTATTTGAAGAAAAAGCTCTCCACCTATGATTTTCCCTTTTACGTAGGTTCTTTCAGAAAGTAAACAAAAATCCATTGTTTTACACAGGAATTACTCTGACAGTGGGCCCAATTTTCAATCATGAAGAGTGATGAATATTATGCAATTATCAACAAACATCCCCACCTCTGACCTTATGATGGAGAGAACGTCATTGATGAAACAGCTGAAGGTGATTCAGTCTAGGACACTACCCTGAGGAACTCCTTCAGAGATGTCCTGGAGCTGAGATGACTGATCTCCATCAAGCATAACCATCTTCCTATGTGTCATGTATGAATCCAAGCAACAGACAGTTTGCCCCCCAAACCCATTGATTTCAGTTTTGCTAGGACTCCTTGATGCCGCACTCTGTTGGGCGCAGTCTTGATGCCAGGGTCTATCACTCTCACCTCACCTCTGAAATTCAGCTCTTTTCATAGAATCATAGAATCCCTACAGTGTGGAAGCAGGCCATTCAGCCAATCAACTCTACACGAACCCTCCAAAGGGCATCCCACCCACAGCCACCCCTCTTATGCTATTCCTGTAACCCTGCATTTCCTGTGGCTAATCCACCTAGCCTGCCATCCCTGGACACTATGGGCAATTTAGCATGGCCAATCCACCTAACCTGCATATCTTTGGACTGTTGGAGGAAACTGGAGCTCCCAGAATAAACCTTATGCAGACATGGGGAGAATGTGCAAACTCCACACAGACAGTAACGTGAAGCTGGAATCAAACACAGCTGCCTGATGCAGTGAGGCATCAGTGGTAACCACTCAGTCACCTTGCCACCCAATTAATTTTAAATTCCAGGTTTCTTCTAAATTTCACATGCTGACACTGTAGGATTTGACCATGTGTCCCCAAAGCATTAGCCCTGGTGTCTGGATTACTAGCTTACTGACGTTAATAGTACACCACATCTCTTCCTTTTGTCTATATTTGAACCAAGGCTGTAATGAGGTCAGGAGCTGAGTGGTTCTGGCAGACCCCAAACTGGGTGTCATTGAGCAAGTTATTGCTGAGCAGGTGCTGCTTGATAGTATTATTGATAAAACCTTCCATCACTTTACTAATGATCAATGGCTGGGTTGTCTTTGTCCCTCTTTTTGTGTACAGGACATAGCTGTGCAATTTTCCATATTGTTGGGTAGAGGCCAGTGTTGCAGCTGTCATGTAAGAACATGGCTAGGGGAAAGGCAAGTTCTGGAACACAAATCTAGGATGCTATTGGAGAATGTTTGCAGACCGCGTAGTCTTTGCACTATCTAATGCCTGTTAATAATTTTTGATATCACATGAAGTAAATCGAATTGGCTGAAAATTGGTATCTGTGATGTTGGGGACCACTGGAGGTGGCTGTAATGGGTCATCCACTCAGCACCTCTGGCTGAGGATTGTTGTGAATTCTTTGGCCTTGACTTGAACTTTCAGTCGACATTCTAAAGTATGAAAGTTTTGTTGGGGATCACTGCAGTACACTGGAGGATTTCATTCTTATTAACCCTTCACTTTCCAAGCCATAAAGAAATTACAATGCCTATCATTCTTTGTCAGCTATCTGCTAATCCATCAAGTAAAGCTTCATTCATCCTTTAAGTAACCAAAGTTCTGACACAATTTCAATGGATTGTCAATTCATGGTGACATGTTTGCTTTTCATTTTTTTTGTGTTCTTTATGCTCTGTAAAATATCAGAATAAAAATCTGCATGGCAGTACAATGCTATTTCTATTTATTATTTCTTGGTGGCTTTAAAAATGCTTCCAATCACTTTTATTTGTTGCTGAGAATTTAAAAATAGCCATTTGGCCGCTCTTTTTTTTGTAGTTGTGGTTTTAAAAGTACTTTTTGGATTACCTTTAAAATGTACAGGCTTGTAGTAGCAGATATGCTTATAGGTGGCATTCATGCCAAATAAGAGAGATGACATCACTTGGGCTTCTTTTTAACTTTTTACATCGATTTGAAAAATGAAAATGGTAGAATCAATAAATGTCTGGACACAGGTAAGGTTGCTTTCATAAAGAAAGTGCTTTTTTCAGTCTCCTTAAGCTGTATAATGTTTTTGGACTACTTTAAAGTTGTCATGTTAGGATCTTGTTTCTTAAATTAGCTCAGCAGCTACCTGTCATATGTTTTTTAAAGTAGAGAGAGAAGTAGGGTGCTCGTTGTGTTTCAGAACAAGTTAGTAGCCTTTAATTTTGGTTGTAACATGTCATTCCTGGTTGTTGTTGTAACTTCAGCTCTGAACCAGGACAGATACATGGATTAGTCTTAGAAAAAGAACTGCTGAAAACTGTGAGATTGCTGAAACTTTTCAGCTTTTAGCATTGATGTACTGCTACCATGATGCAGTTTGTAATTTTCTGTGCATTAACCTGTGTAACATATGCTGCAGAGAGGCAGATATCTTGAGGTTCATTTACAGAGTTAACTATTTACAAGACTACAATACTGCAGACAAACACACATAATCTGTGCTTTATACTTACAGATGCTACTGTACATTGCTCACACATAACCGACTGACTACACAGACACCACTGCACAGACAGAGTGACTAAAGTCGAGGAGCTTATCTTTATATTGGAACATCATATGTCATGATGACATGTAACTATCATAAAGATTTGGGCTGGAATATATGCTATTATACAATTGTATTTCCAGGAATTAGAAACTTATGGAGTGATTTGATAGATGTTTTCAAGAATTTAAGTGCAACATTTAACATAGATAAAAACTATTTCTGCTGGTTGCGATAACTAGATCTGGGTAGCATAGTCAAAAGATTAGAAACAAATCTTTTAGGAGTAAAATTGGGAAGGATTTCTATGTACAAGGATGTGAGAGTTTGTAATTCTCTTCAGAAATCATCAATTAATACTAAATATAGTATTAACTTTAAATCTGAGATTGATACACTTTCTGCTGAATGGTAGGGGCAAAAATATCAGTACGGAGCTGTCTTTTAGGTCATCATGAGATCATTGAATGGTGGAGCAGGCTTGCGGAGTTGAATAACATAATAATAGATTTGTTACATCATAGAATATCATTTGAGCCTTCAGGTCTGCAGCACCTCTCCGAATGACATTTCACCTAATGCCATTCCCCCACTTTCCACGTAATTCTGTACAAAGTTCCTTTTCAGGTAATAATCTATTGCCCGCTTAAATGCCTTGACTGAACCTGCCTTTGCCACACTACAGCACATTTTCAGATCTTAACCACTTACTGTGTGAAAAAAAACTTGCATCTCCAACCTCTCAGCTGCATTTGGTAAAATATGAAAGGTGACATCACAAGAAAGTTGGTTACTTATCTTTTAAAGCTCAGAAAATTAATTAGTAGTTGTAAGGCTTTTCTAGCTTAGTCAGGATTAGTAATAATTATCAGCAATAAATCTTATTAGGGATAGCTGGGTTTATTGATTAATTAAAACACAACACAGATGGCAGGGCAGGTGATGTGTTGCATTTGTCGAATAGTGAGATCTCTTGGACAGCACTGTGATCCAGGAAAAAAAAACAAATGTAGCAGGTATTCGTGGCTTGAGGAGCTGCGGGTCAGAGTTTATCAACTGCAGGCAGAACTGCAGACACTTGATGTATCAGGAAGGGAGTTACTTCCCAGGATGCTTTATTGCATGGATGGTCACATGTAGATTAGGGACTTCTGTTTTGATCAGTTATCGGGGCAGGAAGTTGTGATGGTGATACAGTGAAGGGGAGCCGAAAGACAGAGAAGCTAGTGCCTTGGCCTTTGCAATTGTCCCAAAGGTTTGAGGTTCTTACAGCCTGTAGGGATGAAAGTGGGGGCTGCAGAGTGGATGAGAAAACTGACCATGGCACTATGGTATAGAAAGTCAATTTAGTGGGATGCAGTTAATATGAATGAGGTGGTAGTAGGGGACTGCATGGTTGGGGGGCTAGATACTTTTCTCTGCAGCTGACAGCAAGAGTCCAGACAGCTATGTTGCCTGCGTAATGTAGGTTTTGGGACATCTGCTCTGGGATGAGCAACTCTTGTATTTGGGGGTGTAATCAAATGGTCATAGTCTATTTAGGTACCAACAAATTATAGGTAAAACAGACCACTTCTAAAACTACTGTATAATAAGCTTTATAGCTTATAAACAATGTTCTCAATATGTCCTGCTACCATCAATGATTTATACAGATATAAACCCAGGTGCCATTGCCTCTATATCCCTTTAGAATTATACCTTTTTATTTTGTGAGGTTGTAGTTGTTAGAAGTCAGTCATTTAGCTCCAGGATCTCAGCGGGTATTGTTGTAGCAGCTTCAGCTGCTTCATCAATGCCCTTCTCTCAGAAGGTCAGAAGTGGGATATTCACTGATGATTGCACAATATTCATCATGATTCATGACTCCCAAGAGCTGACTATAACTAAATGTAACAAGACCTAGATAACGTCAAGGTTTGAATTGCCA